TTCGTTTATTGCTTGACTGACGTGTTGTTTGAATGGATCTGATGGACCTTAGGGACACAAGGCTTTTTTACCTTTGATGTTGATATGTTCCTGTATGACAGTGGAGCATATCTAAATCTATAACGAAAACAGACCCACTGATCCTTCGTGCTACAGGTTAATTATCCTTGTTTTTAAAGACAAAGTTATATTTTGAATGCTGAATGATATCAAGTCTGGATGTATCCTGGCTCGACTTCAGATACCAGAGATGTTGATCCTTCTAATGTCTGTTATTTCTGTCCTCCTACAAGCACAGATAAAGGACTCAGCTACTTCGAGGATGTCATAAATCATTGTCGGCTGTCCGAAACAGCCTTCGTCTCTGACTGTGAGTCAATCATACAACTTGTCATTTTTCATGAACATTCTACGGGTAGAAGAAACACAAATGTTTACAGGGAACACGGAACGACGTATAGATTGTGTACTTTTTGGTTATTAAACAAGCCTGTTTCAACTTAATAGGTTGATGATGATGCTGTGTTGTGACGTGTTTACCCCCAATGAGTATCTACGAATAAATAATTACAGAGTTAACGCTGTATGTAACCTTTTTTTAATTGGTGTATATTTTGGGATCACCCCAGTAAAACTATGCATTGTCTAAATAAGCCAGCGGATGTGATGTATTGACATTTTCTTCGAATAAATTAAACACAAAAACTCTTGAAACATTATGGAAGAAATCATTGATTAATTTAATGAGTAATGCTTGTGGTCTTCTAAGCGTCATTTATTTCAGATTTAACTTCTCGACGACAAATCTCATTAACAAACCCCTCAGTGTCGGCATTCACATAACCCGTCCTACATTTTCCATGTTACCTTCTTCATGACAAATCTCAAGAGATTTTTGTTTTCAAGGTAACATCGAAAATTGCGATATTTCACAAATATAATTAAGGAATACCTGAATAAAACAACGTTAATCCAAAATTAGACTTATGGGAAATCAAAATATCCGAGTGATGTTTGGTGCCTGTCTTCTGGGGTGTTGCGCCATGGATACTGGTAGAAGTTTACAGTCACAAGACAGAAGTTGTCGTATTCATCACAGTGAAAACCTCAGATCTAAACCTCTACGTATGTTCTATCCGTAATTTGAGATATTAAGTTTCAAAAAATATAATGCAACTGCTGTATGTTTTCGATTACCCACGTGTGTCAGTCACATCTCTAAAGACAGAATGAGTCGCGGTGTAGAGTTCGCAGGTCAGACAGGCGCCACACTGCAAGACGTCGGCCATTCAGGCATTGTTTGCAAAGACAAGATTGTTTCGCTTGGATTGTGGACAAGACGAAATGATTGTATGTACGAGAAGAAAGAAAGATGCTACTGGTCAGGGAAATGCGGGAGACCCTCTGGCGCGCAGGGGGGGCATAACGACGAGATTAAATTCCCCAGACGACGTCAAGTTCTGTATAAAGTATTGGAAACCAAAGATCAAGATTTTCTGGAAACAGGGCCCTGTTTGTAATGCGAAATAGAATTTCGTTTTTATTTGCTTTCGGTTTACGTCTTACAATTTGCCTGTAGGCTTAGGGTAAGTCTAGATGAAATGAATGGCACAAGATCATCAAATGTTGCCCGAAATGCTTCAAGCCATCCATGATCAGGTATGCTTAAGGGAGTGATTGTTTCCTGAATTATATTTAACATAAATATATGAAAAACACTCAGATTAGCTGAGTTGACGGAAATGAAATGTCCACAATATTTTAAATTGTAATCCTGTTTCGTTGAATATGCACCGTTACATTTTTAAATCTTGACAAACTCTATAATTTACGTAACATAGTTTAATTATTTTCTTGAGGTAAAGTCCTCAAACGTCGAGGAAGTTCGTGATATTAGATCGCTAAGAACCAATACGAAATTTGCCTGATTATGAATGGTCCTGATCTTTGTTACCAATGTTAATGTGGAGACTGTTAAGTAGTTTCGGAGAAAATACGCGAGGACAGGCATCCCTATTACGCTTTCATTTTATACAATATGTAAGAGAAACACAGAAGATGGCATGATCTAGTTCTGTATAAACTTTCGTTCATTCACTGTTTGTCAAATAATATCAGAATTTATGCTCCGTTGGTAAAAAAATAATTGTGAAATTATAAAGAATCGCGTACTTAACACCAAATAGTTTTGTGTTTACCGACGTTTAGGAAATCAGACATTGTAATGATGCTATAGAATATTGCAATATTTTATATCTCAGAGCAATGTGAATAAAGGTGTTTCACGATGGAGTAGTCGGTAATGTCTCACCATTTGTTGTCCTTCGTAAGCCTACGGTTATAAACTACAGAACGGATTTTTATTCGATGTGATATTGGCGGTCTACCCGGAAAGGTATTTCGAAAAAAGCTGAAATGAAAATTATGTGAGTTTTGTAAAAACGAAATATGAAAACATAATATAAATTGCAGATTTCATTCACATGTACAAATTTTACTTAAACATGTTGTATTTGGTGTGGACTTCTTTTAACAAAATATGAGAAAAAAATTTGACAGCTTCGTAGACCTAACTGTACCACGGTCAGCTGCGCAATGCCGAGTTGTGTCCCAGACAGCTGAAGAAGCTTTTCAAGTGTGTGATCCAGCAGACGAGTTAAATATGCTGGTAGTTTATTGAACAGTGGTTTTATTGTAGAGATCGAACTCTGGACTCTGGGGCCGATCGGAGTTTAGTGGCGACTTGGGACACCCAAACTGGATCAATCTACACTTGATACTCCACACCATACCCAACCTTCCTAAACTCGCGTCACACTAAATATTGTCGAAGAATCATCGCGGCATACCAACCCTATTTTTCATACCGTGGAGTGGGAGGTAGATGGTTTACGGCAATATTTGGCCTCGACAATTTCTTTATAAATCTACCACAACCGAAAAATGTTCTATTTTGTTATTATTATTATTATTATTATTATTATTATCAATCTTTATTATAATATTTTTTATTTTAAAAATATTCATTATTTGAAATAAATTAAAATATAATATTTCACATCGTTTGATCTAAAATGTATTAACTATGTGTAAACATTAAAACTTAAAGATACTTATTTATATTTGTACATGTATATTGCAGAAAAATACATAGAGTGGCAATAAAAGTATATTGGAGGTGCACATGTTTTGCTGCAAAGTGGTTGTGTTGTTTCCAAATTCCATTTAGTACTTATTGTCTGTCCTCAGTCATAATAATCATAATAAAGAAAATTAAAACTGAGAGAGAGCAGAAAACAAGATTAACAATTATTTATCTCATTATGCCTATCATTATAATATAAGGTAAAAATTTCTAAAATGAAGCATTTGCGACCCCAAGTTCATAGGAACATTTTTTTCTTATTTTCGATCCTGGAAAACGCACACGAAGTTTGTGAACATACTTCTGACTCACCCTGTATTTGCAGTAACACCTGTGAGGTATGGAAAATTCCGAAGTGTGGGTAGTCTGAGAAAATTTAATTAGTGTTTTAAATTAAGAGCGTACAGACACAACGAGGTTTATATAAACTGTTTTGTTGAAGATTTTTTATATAAATTTACTGACGCATTTTCAAACAAAGCGCGCAGTCTAAAAAATATTTAGCCTGCATGAGAACAGATTCAAAACGTTTTCACAGATGGTAACATATTATCCACAACAACAGAACAAGAAAAACGCACTTAAAAACTGTGGCTATACATGAATACAGAAATAAACTGAAATTCACAAACTCAATTAAACAAATTAATAAACTCAGGCATATAAATTAATATCAGAAAACCAAAACACACGAACAAGCAAACTTACGTATACAAACTCAAATTACACGAAACAGTTTATCAAAATCAGAAACATAAACAGACTGTGCAGACTAGAAAGCTGTTGTTTTAAGTTGCATATCCCTGGCTTACTACAGCTCAGAGTTTTGCCTCGGATCCAAAAGTTACTTTCCTACTATCAGAAGCAATGAGGTGTGAATTTATGGACTGAACTCAAAAGGTTTAATAATTTCGTGAGCGTTATAGTTCCGTAAAAGCTGGAACTTCTTTGCTGGCTAATAAACTATCTACTTCTTCTCACGGAAGATAAAGATACAGGCAGACTAATTGATTGGTTGATGATTGATATGTCACACTTAAGCAATATTTTCGTCAAATAACGCTGTTAGATACATAGATTGACGTGTAAGTAGGTTATTACGTAGACAAATATCGAACATGATGTACATATACAGAACAACATCGAGTATATTATTAAAATGGAATAAATCTGGAAAAGAACATCGTTCGATTTCTGATAAAAAAATCTGATATAAATATGTGCGCTAAAATAGTATATGGAAATTGTATTTAAGTTATTATTGATTTGAATCTTTATATAAATATATACACCTGAAGATAGTTCTTTTAGGAACTGAAACATGTCGTGAAAAATGATGGTCTAATGTGAATCGAATATTTCGATAAAGAACATCATTTAATATTTTAAATATTTTAAATGTTAATTATTGTAATATTTTAATATTTAATAAGAATTTATTGTGATTAGACGGACAAGATTTAATATAATATATAGACAAATAAATATAAAAGTAGGTATATATACAGACGAATAGAAATATGGACGAATTTGATCGCCTAGATGAATAAACATCAGAGTTATACTTCGGATTGTTTACAAAACCGAAAGATAAATTTAGGTTTTGTTATGTGGAAGTTTAAGTAACATTATCATAAAAAATGTCTCATAACAACAAGGGAAATTTGAAGAAAATCTAAGAACAAAACGAAAATGCTAAAGGAATAATTCTCTGAAAGGGATTTTTACATGCACGTAAATTAATCAATCTTTGGGAATTCCAAATGTCATAAAACGTTACGTACAGCACAGGAAATACAATGATAGCTCTTTTGAGATACCAAGGTCAACACTAAACGCGGAGGACTAGTCTTACCTTTTGCGCTGTGCAGTCGTCGAAAGACATTGAACAAATCACCAAGAAATAACAACTGAAACGAACTTCACTTTGCACTGTTACTGTGATAACGTATTCGATGCTTCGAGCTTGTGGTATCTTTATTCACGCTGCATGGAGGTAGCCAGCACGTCGCCCCCAGCCCAGTAATGTGTACGACAGGATGAGGGAGACTTGCAAACTGCTGTCAACACCAGCACCGCACAAGAGACGACCGCGACATAGAAGACCTGACAGCCAAGTTTCATGCTGTTATGGCGACTATTCATGCAGACATGTTCACGCTAGTATTCCGCGATGTACATTTGAAGTGTTGCACGTCGACTAAACATGATGGACACTGAAACAACCGCACTCTTAGCTAACTACCTGCTGTGATCTATGTCCACAGGCGTTGTGAGCTCCTCAAGTCTTGTTTATCTTTAGATGTGAGTAATGTGTATTCCTTTTATGTACGCTGTTCTTCTGCGTTAACTCTCTAGTTCATGAGTGTCCCCTAAAGTTTATTTTGTATCTATTTAACCCTCCGTGTGTCTGTTGTCTATGCCTCTCTGCATCAACAGTGGATTCTTTTCTCCTTATGATCGGTGAAACTCTTGCCCATTTGACGATTTCTCCCTACCATGATATCTCGTGAACGATTATTTCTAGAGAATTATATCCGTATGATTTTCATTTATGGGGTTGTCTCCCCGTTCCAATTGTCCCCATATTCTGTATATTTACCGTACTAGTAAGTACGAAAGTTATGGAGTAAATAGCATAGTTATATGTCGTACGAAGTCAGGTTATGAAATGGAAGGTGTATAAGTATAGGATCTTGACTTCTATACTATAAAGATAAAGGTCTTGTACTTTTAAATTTATCTCCATTTCACAATTTCCTTTTAATTAATGTTATTTATTGATGATAATAAATCAGAAGAGACAGAGATGTGGGAAGTCTGGAGTCGTATCGCGTTTAAAAAAGTTTAATGAAAATCTGTTAATTATTCGGTTTTTGTCCGTCTAATCAGAATTCAAATTTAAAATTTAAAATTTACAATTAAGATAATTATAGAATATAGAAACCGAAACAAAAATATGTTCAAAATGTAAATCGATTGTTCGATGAGGAACATCAAATGATATTTTAATTATCTTAATTGTAAATTTTAAATTTTAAATTTGAATTCTGATTAGACGGACCAAAACCGAATAATTAATTAATATATTTTATCACAATATGACGCAACTATATCATCTTACAGAATTTTACTCTTAACAAGACTACACGAGACTATTAATACTCCATTGTAGACAGTGTTTTGTTTTATATGAGTATAATATTGAAACTGATCTTGAAGAAACAATTAGGGACTGTGGACCGTAAAGACTTGGATCATGATAAGAACCAGCGACCGGACTCTTGTGAACACTGAACGAGGCGGATAATTGTTTCGCTGTCAGGATGTGCATGCTCAGTGGAGTTCCGGTCTGTTTTTAAGCAACCGGTTTCAGTAATTTAGTCTGACCAGTGATTATGATAACAACCAGTTTGTAACGTGTCTTGTCCCAGAAATTGCTAAGGGTCTCTTATAACGTAAACCTCTTTCCATATAATCCCTAGATCACTGTCTCCGGCTTCCAGAGGTTGAGCAAAGACTGCTCCCGAAGAATTCTGTTGCCGCGTCGTACTGAACCTTCTGGTGTTAGGAATAGTTCTTAAGAATTCCACAGGGAGAGTCTTCGGTTATAGTCTGAGTACGAAGAGTCTAAAGATAACTGATTCAAATAGTCCTCATTCTATTAGGCGTGTGTAAGACAGTTTTCATCTCATTAAAGACAGAGATCATGCTACGGCCAGGTACCAAAAAACTTAATTTTTGTTTTCTTGGTATACTTACATACATCCAGGCCAATTAACATTATTAGAGTAATTAAATTTAAGAAGCTAAAAAGTATTTTGTATTTGGTTTGGATAGGTGAGAGAATAAATAAGTGCATGCAGACGAAATTTTTGTAAAAGAACATTCTGCAAATTGTTAATTTGCAAGATCTAAAATTAAGTACGGTTATAACTTAAAATTGACTTAGAGGGAGTCACGTCCTGAGGCTCAGACGTAAAAGGGTCTAATCAGTTAAAATAATATATCCTAAATGTCTTGTTTCTGTCGCAGTCTATAATGCATTACTACTTTTTAAGATCTTGCCTGTTTTTAAGATTTGTCCGTATATAAAATTTATCAGATAAACTGAATTGTAACACAGCCTCCCATCAAATGTTATGTAACCACATATACGTCCTAGTTGTCATAAATAAAAATGTAGCGTCTCATTTTATTTCTGTTTGTTCACCTTCAAAAAATACTTCCAATGGATTTACCAAAAATTCTGTTATAATCTGGACACGGATAAGCCGACTGAAAGAAGATGGGTAGTGTGTTGCACGGAGGTAAATCCAACCATATTTCTTGAGCGCTGTGGAAAGTTTTCTCTTTGGAGGGCTTTTAAAAATCTTCTGAATGCCTTCAACTGTCCTCCTATCTAGCTCGTATTCACCACTGTCTCTGAAAGTGATGAGTAGCATTCTTCAACTAGTGTGAAAAGTAAAACTAGGATAAATTATGACGGCGTTAACAGCGATATGGCACTGTTTATCAATTCCAGTAATACGTTTCATACTTCAGAATGGTATAACCTTACAAGGGAAGATATCGTTCTCTTGCGTATGTATCCAAATAAATTATTCAGATACTTCTTTCTTGTCAAGTTGGCTCGAGTTTGGCAGTAGAGTTTCACAGACTTCTATCCAGAGTTTCTCTTTAGTTTTTGTCACTGTACTCCGATTTGACCGAACTGTACAGTGGCCTTTCCTCCTATTCACTTACACCAAGGTCGAGCAAACAACGGAGGCAGTATAACCTCAGAAACGTTGGTTAACATCGACCAGACTACACAACGCAACAACCCAGAAGACAGAAATCTTCATACTCTGATGACGGAGGCAGTATGACCTCAGAAACGTTGGTTAACATCGACTAGACTACACAGCGCAGCAACCCAGAAGACAGAAATCTTCATACTCTGATGACGGAGGCAGTATGACCTCAGAAACGTTGGTTAACATCGAC